CTAAACCTCTGAACCCTGAACCCTACACCTCCTGAAAACAAAATCCCGATCCCAAGGCCAACGCCAGCTCTCCCGCTTGGTGGTTGAAGGCCCTCAGAGCTGTCTTTAGGGGATCAGTTTAAGGGGTGTAGGGTTTTAGGGTTTAGGGGATCATATTACGGGTTTAGGTTTTAGGGTTTAGGGGATCACGTTTTAAGGGTTTAGGTTTTAAGGTTTAGGGGATCATCTTACGGAGGCATTCGAGGGGTTCTATGAGGGTTCTTTTAGAGTTTAAACTTTTCTGTATCTTACAAAGCGCACATAATAAAGTTCCAGTTGCGAACAGAAAGAAACTACACTCAGATCTGCGACTGGCATGCCACAACAATCTCCTAAACCAAGGGTTTAGGGTTTAGGGCTTATAGGGTTTAGGGTTTACCGCGATCTTGGACATAGGATCCCAAAAGATGTATGTGTCATGAAAGTAGGAGGGCCAGCCCCAAACTTTGTTCCACTTCCAGCCAATCCCGCCCAAGCCTAATCCTTCGACTTGCAACATCCCCAATCAAGCCCGACCTGGACCCTACGAAACCTACCTCTTTACGGTTACCTGTTCTGGTTTCCTTCGAGGAGCGTAGTGTCCTCTACGTGAACCTGCATCGAAAGTGATGTGGATGTGCCACACCGTGCCGTCGAACATCTTCACTTGCTTACGTTTGCCTGGACCCCAACTCTGAAATCCACAAAACCGCTAAACCCTGAAACCCTAAACCCTAAACCCGAAACCGCCTAAACCCTAAACCCCAAAGCGTCTGAACCCGAAGCTCAGAACCCTAAACCCTAGACCCTTCAACCCTAAACTTCCCTCAACTCGTTAACCCTACACCCTAAAGCCCTGAAGCCCTAAGCCCTAAACTCTAAACCCTAAACCCCTAAAACCCTAAATCCCTAAACGCCCGAAAAGCCCTAAAACCTCTCCAACCTGGGAGCCCCTGCGCGAGGGAGTTGCAGGAGTCGAGGTTCGCGCAGTAGCAAACTTTGAAGATGCCTCTAAAGGAGAATTAGGGTTTAGGGTTTAGGGTTTAGGGTGTAGGGTTCAGAATTTCGGTTGATGATAGGGGTTTTGGGTTTAGGGTTTGGGGTTATAAGGTTATTAGGGTTTGGGGTTATAGGGTTTAGGGTTTAGGGGTTTGGGTTTAGGTATCCAGCATTACCCATAATAAGGCATATACCATAATTCCCATAGTTTAGGGTCCTTAAGGTAGCCCAGGATCTATATCATCAACCGTAGTTTCCCTTAAGGGCTCCTTTAAGGGATTAGGGTTTATAGGGCTTAGAATTTAGAGTTTGGGGTAGATGATTTTGGAGTTTCCAGTTTAGAGATTAGAGCGTAGAGGTTATGGAGCTTAAAAGCTCGCGTTTCAAGTTGTTGGTTGTGGGTTTAGGTTGTTCATCTTTGCCTCTTGGCTGCTTGCTTCATGTGTATTGGGCTATATCTTCGTGCGCGAAATGAGGGTTTACGATGTAAGTACAGATCAGCTCTGCCAGAGCTTAAGTGCATTTTCCTTGCGAGTCTGATTCAATATAAGGGCCTCAATAATTAGAATAGGGTTTTGGGGTAAAATATACTAGTATAGTTCTAATAAGGAACCCCCGAAATAGTACAGGTAATGATTAAGGCGCCTAAATCAGGGACTTGGTGTTGTTACAACGCTACTTTGCTTTGCTGTGAAGAGGCTCTAGAACCCTAAACACGCTTACGCGTAACCCTAAACTGCCCTAAACCCTACCCAGTACCACTAAACTCTAAACCTATACCATAAACCAGGGTTGGGGGGTTAAGGTTTTGGACTTTTCGAGCTGTAGGGATTAGTTGTTTATAGGGTTTTGGGAGAGTTTGGGCTGTAGACTGTAAACGGTTTAAGGTTTAGGGCTTATGCTTTATCATGGTTTAGGGCCGTCACGAAGGGTTTGCAAGGTGTTCTGGGTTTTGCAAGGCTTGGGTGATGTGGGATGGGTCTGGTGGGAGTGTAATTGGTGATACCAATAATTACACTGGAGTCAAGAGTGATAGCGCATGCACGTATTTTAAATGTTGCGTCCAAGGCTGCTGGTATTCCAGGTTGGCTCCTCAATTTAGGGTTTAGGGTTTAGGGGTTTAGGGTTTAGGGTTTAGCCTCTGAAAATGATCGTACATAAGATCCTCTCATTAAGGGAAAATGCAGGATGTCCCAGCGTATGGTTGTGAACTCGAATTACGGGGTCGCGTTGTCTACCCTTCTGCCCGACACGTACACGGCTTGGAAAATCAACACTCAGAGCTGCAGGCGTCTCGCAGAACGAAGGTTCCAACACTCGACACTGCCAGTCTCCCAGACCTTGCAAGGCGGATGGAAATCAAAGTGTTGGGATGAACCAGAATGAGCAGCTCCCGCCGATTTCCAGGGTTTACCGCTTCTGACAAGTTCATAGGCTTCAGACACCCGCCTTCGCGAATGTAAGCCGAGTTCTGTCGGCATTGTCTGCATTTGCGAGCATGTACGACTGCCATGTCATCAGGGTCCTCGTCCCAGGGTCGTCGTCTTTCTTTAGGGTTTAGGGTTTAGGGGTTTAGGGTTTAGGGTTTAGGGTTTAGGGTTCTGGGTTTAGGGTTTAGGGGTCTAGGGGTTTAGGGTTCCACCACTTGGATCCCGCACCTTTCTTGTCGTACTCTTCCAGCTACCTGAGCCCCAGGAGTACCTTCCCTGCACAGCAGCAACCCAAGCAAACAGAGGGTTTAGTTTAGAGTCCAGGGCTACCGGCGGCTGGAGCATAAGACCTGAAGTGTGAGGATGTTGGATCTACTTGGGGTTTAGGGCTTGTAGTTCCCAGTCTTGGCGCATTGGGATTCTAGGTGTGTCACACACACACACAAACCCTGCAAGCCGCCAAGCCCCATAGACTTCTATAGGCCACAGTCGCTGAGCCATAAAACCCCAAACCCTGAACCCCAAGACACTAAAACTCTAACACCCTAAACCTCAAGACACTAAAACCCCAAAAGCCTAAACCGTTTAAACCCAAAGCCCTAAACCCTAACACCCTAAAGCCCTACAAGGTACCCACCCCACCTCCTGCAGTGACTTGGCCCAAGGAAAACCTGCGAGTTGGCGCCGGGACCCTACAGTTTGGAGTTGAGGGCTTGGGGTGTTAGTGTTTAATAGTTTTTGGGTGTTAGTGTTTAGGCGGGCGTGACTTCGTTGATATGCGCTTGTCATACTCTGATCGTGCTTTCTTCGATCCAACAAAGCTTCGTGTACGTTAGCAGGCCTAAACCCTAAACCCTAAACCCTAAACCCCAAAACCTGTAATTCCACTGGTCACGAACCTGATAAGACTTCAAAGGCAAGTGGAGAAGCCCTGCTTATCCTTGGCGTGCATGAGACGTGATGCAGAACCTTCAGACCACGAACCTAACACAGGGATCTTAATAATTGGATTAGATTTTGCTGTATGCGTATATGTATGTGTGTATGTATATATATATATATAACAAGGATCCTCGAAATGGTATCCGTCATTATTCAGGCTTCTGTTTTGAGTGATAAACCGGACGACCGGACATGCGCCACGACCAGGCCATATAATTCAAAGACGCTCCAACAACTTCAGGCTTAATACTTATCGGTTTGGGTTGAAGCTTCTGGGAATTCGGGCTTAGCTTCAACACCCTAAACCCTAAACTTGGGTTTTTGGGGTTTAGGGCTTTGGGGGTTTGTTAGGATTCAGGGTTCTGATCTTCGGGTCAGCGGCTGTTGAGGGACACAAACGTAGCATCTCAACTGCGAGGTATGGAACCCAACATCCTCTGTCTACACAGCTGTAGTTTAGGGTTTAGGGTTTAGGGTTTAGAGTTTAGGGTTTAGGGTTTAGGGTAGTACGAAATTGTTTGTTATAGGATGGACAAGTAAGTAATTTACACATGTACGATCTATCTCTATATATATACACATATAAATTATGATTATATATATATATATACGAATACCTGTATATAACTTTATATATGTACCAATAGCCGATAACACACACAAACACTAACACATAAGGTTTGGGACTCCCATTAATGAACACTGTATACCCTCAAACTCCCAAAATTAAAATCATAAAGCCCGAAAACCACGCACACCCAAAACGCCGAACCCCAAACCACACACGGCAACAAGGCCTGGCCAAAGTACTGGAGGTCGCTGGTGCCGGGTCAGCGAGGAGCAAGGACTTGAAGAACCTCTGTAAGACGGGCTTCAGTCCTTCAAACCCTTAAAGCAGTCGACCAGGTCCTGTCGTACAGCCTTGTCCCCATGAAGCCCTAAACTAAACCAAACCTTCAAGACACCAAAACACCCGAAACCCTGAGCCCTTACGGCATGCGACAGCAAGAGTCGCCGGACTGGATGACTGTTAAGGTCTTGGCCAACATGGACTCAATGGTAGTGGAAAGTACAAGATTGTGGTGAAGGTTAGTGCTTCGCTGCATGGATGCACTGGTAGCCCTGCAATACCTCATCCGCATGCGCTCTAAATTCCAGCGTTTGCAGGGCCGGACGCGGTCCAAGCTCGAAGCCCGATAACACCATGCTGCGATCCCAAAGCGAAACTCTAAACCCTCGGGCGCCATGCTATGTCCTTGAGGCCGTTTAGGAGTTAACCTTCATTTAAGAGCCTCCTACATAGGGATCCTCTAGAATTTGCAAGGCTGCGCCTTCAAGGAATTTCGAGTTTTGTCTATCTTGCCCAGGACTGTCGACGACACTCTATCTAATTGAAAGTTTTTTGGACAATATTTCCCATGTTTTCACTGCTTTCATTATTGTCGTCATGGTTCAGATTCATTGTTTTCACTCGTGTTTTCAATTTAAACGGTTCTGTTACTGTTCGCACATGTCATACTTCACTTTATCATAATTTCCCACTGGTCTAATATCTTTCATAATTTGTTCATTCTGTCTCATATATTTGCAATGATGTCAATATATCTAACCATCTTCATTTGTCAGTATGTCTCATTGATTCCATGATCTGTTCACAGCGTTTGCTTTTGTTGTTGCACAACCTTTTCAATATCTGCACGGATTTCATTAGTTTGTTCAAATTTAACCAGCGTCAACGTCTTTCAGTTATTTCACGATTGTTCAGCATGTGTTCGCTACTTCCCTGTGCTTTCATTGTCTTCATTCTGTTTTCACTATTTGTCGATATTCCTGAATTATTCTTCATTGGTTTCAATATTTTCACTGTCGTTCTTGACTTTTTTGAATGAGTCGCTATTGACTGTTTTTACATTCTGTTTCACTGATTTCAGATGTTTCCGCTAGTCTTGACTTGTTGTGAACTGATGTCACTATTCACATGTGTTGTTTTCTTGTCAATGTTTGTTCAATGATTTCCTTAGCTTTTCATTTTACATTTCAACGATTTCGCTATTTCCAATTGGTTATTTTTCCATCATGATATCCATCAGTTTCAATTTTCACTCTGGCTTCCATCTCTTATTGCATTACTCTTCCTTGATCTAAGTGTGATTGGACAATCCAGAACATTCCAGCCCTGAGAGTTGTAGGTGTTCCCTGTAAGGTTACAGCAATACTGTGCCTGCCGACGTTGCCGACGTTGCCTCATGTGGCGACCATGGTGGGGATATGTGTGGCAGGGAAACACAGATTGTTCTTGAAGACTTGTTATGCCAAGACTCTCCTGGCTGGCCAGATCGAATATCCAGCCACAGACAGAAACTTTGATGGACTGTATACTCGTAATGATTCTGTAGTCTAATGTCCGAGAGGTTGCTTCGGGACTGTCCCAGGGACCTCATGCCCAATGTAGAGGCCTTAATAGTTAGAATAGGGCTTGGGGTCCCTTATACTATAGTTATAATAAGGAGCCCCAAAATAGTATTGGCAATTGTTGAAGCCCATATATTAAGCCCTAAACCCGAAGCCCTATAAACTCCGAACCCCAAGCATCCCAAAAACGCAGGGTCCCCGGCCCCGTCTCTTGCGGCTCCCCTGAGCAGAGCGTAGTGGAGTTCACGATCTTCACCTTAGGGTTTAGGGCTTTGTATTTTCTGTGGAATAGGATTTAAGGCTGCATGTCTAGGGAATTCAACATGAGTTCTGTAAAGTAGGGATGTGTCTGTTTGAACTCCGTTTTCCAAGGGTTTAGCGTTTAGGGCTTTATAGGTGTCCGTGGGGTGGGTTAGGATTTCAGGCTAGGGCTAGGACAAGCTTCAGGAATTGTGGGTTCTGTGGGCTAGGGTTTTAGGGCATAGGGTTTAGGGTCTGATGGGCACTGATGGGTTCTTTGGGGTCGGGTTTAATTAGGATTTCAATTTGATTTTTCAGTATGGGCTTTATGAATTATCTGTTCTCTGGGCTAGGACTTAAAGTATAGAGTTTAGGGCTTTATGGGTTTTGTAGCATAGAGCTTAGCGTTTAGGGTTCGGGGTTCAGGGTTCCAGGTTTGGGGCTTATGGGATTTGTAGAGTAACGAGTTTGGGGGTTTAGGGTTTAGGGTTTAGGGGTTATAGGACACCTCCCTAAACCCTAAACCCCTAAACCCTGTCAAGAGTCATACTGTAAGGACCTTGCCTGAATAATTAGAACTAAGGAAACCCCCAAAATAGTTTAGGTAGTTGTTGGAAGCCCCCCTACCTTAACCCTAAGCCCTAAATCCTAAACCCTAAACTTCCTTAAGGGGACTCTTCGGCCTATTCCCCTTTACAATGTCTTAGAGCTCCTTCCCCCGTAGTCTCCATCGTAGTTCCTCTGTTTGGTTTAGCCAACTCTACAAATAGGATCCTGCAAGGTAGCACCGAAAAGGGACTGCAATGGAGGTTTTTAGGTAAGCCACTATAACAAATGCAAGGAACCAGAGGCGTTGCCACACTGTTTCGGGGTCAGCCACCTCCCAAGCACGAATAGCCGAGTAGCTACCCAAACCCTGTACCCTAAATCCTAAACCCTAAACCCCGAACCCTAAACCCTAACCCCTAAACCCCTAACTAAACCCTGAACCCCTGAACCAAGAACCCTAAACTCAAACCCTGAAACCTCAGCCCTGAACACAACCACCTAAACCCCAGACCCCACATCCTCAGACTCCCTGTGCCCATATAGTTTAGGGTTTAGGGTTTTAGGGTTTAGGGTTTAGGGTTTAGGGTTTAGGGTATACTTAGCCCCTAAAGTGCCTATAGAGGAACCCTTTTGAGGCCTGAGTACATATTAGATTTACTATATGAGTACATGGAGCCTTTTGGGAAGTTCTGAATCAAGAGCAAACGTCACGGGGTCTTTGCACAATTGCACCCAAGAGCCGGGTAATCTCATGCAGACTATAACCTCCTCCTACAGGACCACAACAACAACAACTACTACTACTACCACTACTACCACTACTACCACTACTACTACGACTACTACTACTACTACTACTACTACTACTACTACTACTACGACGCCGACTACGACCAGCCATTGGATACAGGGACCTCCAGGCTTCGAAGGTTAGACTCTCAGGCTCGGACGCGATCGGAAACGCCTGAGAGACTGCGTGGTAAAAGGATTTTACAGGGTTTGTGGGCTGACAGCGGGGATCTTCACTTCCCCAATAGGCGAGGGGAATAAACGGTTAAACTTTAAGGTTGCTACTAAACTATAAGAACCCAAAAGGTTAAAGGTTGACAAATTGGGGAACTAAGGGATTCCAAAGAGTTTAGGGTTTGTTGATCTTCATGCGGATGGCTACGGCCAGTGCTGAGGATGGGTGATTTTTGTTGATCTTCATGTGGATGGCTACGGCCAGTGCTGAGGATGGGTGATTCGGCAGTGCTTCGTTTCTTTGTTCCAGGTCAGGGCAAGTCAACGTTGCGGGGTTAAGGACCGGGATGGGTTCAGGGTTTCGGGTTGGGGTTTGGGGTCTGCTATGGGTGAACGGATGTGGGGCGGAGGAATCCCCATCATGACTCACTACATCTTGCCAGGGCTTTTGACTCAGGCAACAACAGGGAAGTAGCTTGCAGAGTACAGCTACGGTTGACGAGTGGAGGCTCGATAGCTGCTAAAACTAGCCTGTCGGTAACCCCAACGTACCAATATAGAGGGTGAAGGCTGGGATACATTATGCTATATAAGTATATAATATACGTATTGATGGACTGTAATAAGGGAAGACTACTACTGATCGTTGAAAAAACATAAGTTCCTTAGAAGACTCCTTGCAGGAGCCCTTAACCGTGGTGATACAACTATATGAAAATTATTCCGACCCCCGCCATAAGACTAAGCCCTGTATATACTATAAGTAAAGCTGCTGCGGCTATAATCAGGATTAGGGTTTTCGAGTTTAGGATTCTGAGGGCTTAGCGAGGAACTCCAAGGAACAATATAAGATCTAAGCCCTAAACCCTAAACCCCTAAACCCTAAACCCTAAACCCTAAACCCCTAAACCCTAAACCCTACCGGTGGCTAGAGAAAACGACTTTCATCTGGCTGGCCTAGACCGCGGCCGGTGATTTCGAGGGTGCAGCGGCCACCCCTTGCTTTGACCAGGAGGCTCGAGGGGTTTGATATCGGGTCTTAGGGTTTAGGGTTTAGGGTTTAGGGTTTAGGGTTCTACTCACTAAAGGTTTCCATACGGGTTGCAGGTTTGAAGGTTTTAAGGTAGGGCCTTAGTAGTAAGATTAGGGTTCCTTTCAAGGGGTTCTTGTAAAGGGTTGTGGAAGAGTTGTAGGTTTGGAAGTTACAGTATAGTGCCTTAACACGTAGAATAAGGCTTTGGGGTAGGTTAGACTATAACTTTCGGGGTTATGAGGAGGATTGTTGTGTTTTCCGGCCCGAATATTACGGCAGTCCGGAGGTCTGAGGGTTTAGGGCTGAAGCTTCACACTTTGATGCACCTTGCCCCTTGAGGCCTTTTAAATTATAAGGCCCCGAATACTAGGTATTTAGGGAAAGGGTGCGCATAGAGGGGCCTGGTAGGGGAGACCCTTCATCCCAAGGGCACTAGGTGCCTGGAAGATACTCCCCAAATCACAGTAGTATTTTGAATTATAGAGACCCTACATTCTACTATATCTACTGGTCCTGTGTCCTGAAAAAACCTACAGGTTAACCTTTGGGAGTGTTTTGGGATTACATTGGGGTTAAAGTAATCCAGAAAGGTCGAAGGTTACCTACTCCACTACTAGGTCAGGTATATAGGTACTTACGACCCTTTGAGTTTTGCGGCATTCTGAAGTCGGAACCCTCAGCCTGTAGGCTTCTAGCTAGCCCTGAACTCTAGACGCTCACCCCAAAACAAGAATAACAACAAGCACAGTTTAAGCTTTAGAGGCACAAAGGCACCCCCAAAGCCTGTAAACTATGGTCTTGGGGCCCAAAGACTTGCAAACGATGAGTCGAAAACAACTTTTTCTAGGTTCCCCAGGAGCCCCTAAAAAATAAGGGTACTCTTTTTCCTACTAATTTGGTTTTATTACGGGAACCCAAAAAGGAAAAGGGCAAAAGGGTACCAGTGGGGAACCCAGTTTTTAGAACTGTTTGCAGAAGTCCTCAAGGCGGTCTGCAAGAACCCTTCTAATGTAGCGGCCTTAACAATTAGAATAGGCTTTGGAGCCCTTTATACTACAATTATAACAAGGAGCCCCCAAAAATAGTATAGGTAATTATTCAAGCCCCTACATTGCGCCCCGTTTTCTCGAAAGCTTAGAAGGAATCGTTTTCAACCTTTCTACAACCCGTAGCGGGCACGGTACAAGGAATCCTTATAGAACCCTTACCAAGAGGGTCCACTATTATGGAATTAGGTTCCCAAAACCATTGGGATGGCTTCTTGGGACCTGATTCCATAATACTGTATTTGGACCCTCTGGGTTACTGGAACCTCGAAGAACCCCCTATAAAACCCTGTGTAGTAACCCTACGTTACGTAAACCGTCGAAGCTCGGCGTGCCTTCCACAGCTGAACTGTTGGTTCGGCGTTGCACCCCGGACCTTACAGGAACCCAAATAGTTTAGGGCCTTTAAGGTTCAGGGTTCGGGTTCAAGGTTTGGGGTTTAGGGTCATGGTTTAGGGTTTAGGGTTTAGAGTTTAAGGTCAGTTTAGGGCTTGGCGTTTTGGGACTCGGGTATAGGGGCTACTCCGCAACAGCGAGAATTTACGGGTTTTCAGCCGAGCCACCATTAGTCCCATTTGTAATGGTTCTACTTGGCTTAACCAGCTTTCTGTTCGGGGTCCTGTAAGACGACACAAATAAAGGAACTACAGTGGAGACTATAGGTAGAACCCGAACCACAAACCCTAAACTCTATTAAACCCTTGGCAAGGCCTGGGGAGATGGGGAAACCTCTCGGGGAAGCTTGTAGGCCGGTGTTTGGGGGCAGGTTCTGCCGTTTGAGGATATCGAATGAGGGTTTGGGGTTTAGGGCTTTAGGGTTGAGGGAGTTTATTGACTGGGGCTTAGTGGGGTTCATAAACAGTATTCAGAAGGGTCTGTTAGGGGCGCATAAAGATGTTGCAAGGGGCCGTTTGCCAAAATTTCTATCCGATTGCATACTTGCGCTGTTTTTTTAAAATGAAGGCTGCGAAAGGGGGCTGTCAGGGTCTTACCAGGGGTTCTAGGAATTATTTGTTTGAAGAATACGGTTTGGATAGAACGTAACAGGGCTTCAAGAAGCTAACAAATACAAAGAGAGGAAGTAAGGCTGAACAGTATGCGGTTTGCTGGTGACAAAGAACGAGCAACGGCGGCGCACGTCCTTCGTGAGGTACCCTAAGACGTTTGCGCGGGTTATAGTTTCTACTTGGAAGGGCGGTGGGTTGTTA